ACAGACATCAGATGTCTGTGCGCGCGGCGGAACTTGGCTAGGGAAACCAGCACTAGCCAATCCACATCCTAGCGCACGAGACGTTGATTGGCTAGTGCTGGTTTCCCTAGCCAAGTTCCGCCGCGCGGCAACGTTACCGCGTCCATGGACTACTGGAGCGCGAAATTTGAAATAGTAATAAATACAATGTCGAAAAAAAATGATATACTTGCCTATACGATGCCTTTCCAGGGCCTCCTCCTCCACTCAGATTGTCTTCCAGCACACTCGCGAAAACACAAAGATCGTTCGCGCGATTTTACATCCCCGTTTGTAAAGCCCATGTGAAAGTATGTATTTTGTTCCGTCGTGTTCGCCTCCACTTCGAGTCGGCGAGTATTATATCCGAAAAACTGCCAAATCTCGAAAGTGTGGCCATCGACAGGAGCGGACGTTTAACGAATACTTGTTCCTCAAATGGGCTTTGAAAAGTCCTCATTTCGATTATTTAAACGGCACTCCCGAACGCGACGAAAATGGAAACTTTATGTTATACGCGCACTTTTGTACGTATAATTGTTCGAGAAATTATTTCTTGGCAGGGCGATCGATATAATTTTTCGTTATCATTTACCCGACCCGATAGACTGTTTTCGACCGAGGTGTTTACGACGCTACGTCATTTCGTGGAACCGGCGCTCGGCTTCGACTGAGTTGTTTTTCGGCGCTCGGCAAAAAAAGGTCACGCCGTACGCCGGATCATTCACGCGGCGACAGTCGAACGAGTCTGTTGTGCCCGCGCAGTTCCGCGTATCGTATTATTCTCCCTTGATACGCGGTCGCGACAAGTACGGGAAGAAATCGCGATCGCTCTCTGCGAATAATTGGTGATCGATTGGTGTCGAGTGATCGCTGAATTCCGATGCTTGTATTCGGATACATCTCGTATCATCTCAGTGAGAGAAAGTGTGTAATCTTGAAAGTTTTCTTTCATTAACGGAATCATGGCATCACAAATGCTGGTCAGAATGCAAAACTTTGAATCGAATTTCATTGCAGTACGTTTAATTGAAGACTTAAATATCAATTAATCCTATCCGTGCTTAATTATATTGTAACATTTACTCATCGATAGTTTAAATTAATACATCGGCGATTTCTGTTGATTAAAATTCGTACCATTGGATAAATTTACGTGGATTACCGAGTGCTAACAGTAACTTCGTGCAATCGTATATTTTTCGTGTTTCCTTTCCTGTCGCGAGTGATTAATATTGAGGTGTTAATCACTCGCGACAGGAAAGGAAACACGAAAAATATACGATTGCACGAAGTTACTGTTAGCACTCGGTAATGTTACACAAAGTGCCACGAAGTCTCGATCATCCCACGAGGTTTGGACAATCACGCCACGAAACGTAAGTACACATTTCATATGAGATTGATTACGAGAAATTAAATATGAATGATTCCTTTTAACATTTGGTAGAAAATTCGGTAATACTGAAGGATATTATTATATACTGTTTAAATTTTTTTCCACAATCATTTAAGGAGTGAGTGGAATTTGATAATGGATTGTTATTTCATCGATATTGTAAATTTTGTTTTATTATGAACAAATTTGGTACTTTCTATTTAGCGACACAAGTCGACACAAGTGTCAGTCTGTCTTTTTTCAACGTAATATTGAGTCGCCATATTGATTTACCTAACGTGCCCATTGGTCTAGACGGTCTTAAGGCGACGTTCCATGGAGTGGAATACTCGGAAGCGGAATCAGTGGACTGCCAATCAGAAGGCCGTTTCGACGGAATTTTTGAAAGGACTTTATCAGAGTGATCTTGTGATTGGCGATCCGTTGATTCCGCTTCCTCGTATTCCGCTTCATGGGACGTCGCCCTAAAGCCCGTATCAGACTACGGATTGGGATTGGGATTAGATTGAAATTTGACCAATCAGAGTAAAAGTTACTGAACTTGAGATTAGTAAACTTTACTGCGATTGGTTAAATTTCAATCTAATCCCAATCCCAATTCGTAGTCTGATACGGGCTTAAAGCCTTGTGTCCACGATCCAAGAACTGTGTCCAAGTTCTACTTCCGAGAAGTGTGTAGCCAATCGACTCGCAGCTTTTACGGAATAGCCGCGAGTCGATTGGCTACACATTACTCGAAACCAGAACTTGGACGCGGTTCTTGGAACCAAGCATCGTGGACAAGGCTTTAGGCCTGTGTCCACGATGCTTGGTCCAAGTTTTCGAGAAATGTGTAGCCAATCAACTTGCAGCTATTCCATAAAAGCTACAAATTTCTTGGAATTGGAACTTTGATCAAATTCTAGCATCGGGGACAGGTCTTTAAGCCCGTATCAGACTACGGATTGAGATTGGGATTAGATCGAAATTCGACCAATCACAGTGAAGTTTATTAATCTCAAGTTTCATACGCTTCATGAGAAACCGGCAATGGGATTGGCCTAGTTTACAACGTACACTTGATACACGTATCAAATAGTAATAAATAGTAAATTGTTTTAGTTATTGACTGATCAGTTCAAATGTACCATTTGATACGCGTATCAAGTGCACGATGCGAACTAGGTACTCATTAAAATTCGAAAGTTCTGCGCGGGTGCGGCCATCTTCTCTCTCTCCTCGCGCTTCCGCGCAACGCCGTTGAGAATCGGTAGACGCACGTACGACGCGACGACAGGTGGCGCTGTACGACCCGCCTCCGTCGTGTCTCGGCATAAAAATTGAATTTTCATTTTTCATCACGGCTGCGGAGGGAGGCTGAGCACGGACGCGTTATTTATACGATTTATCTCGCCGCGTGCCGCGCCCGACACTGCCGACACGCGAAAGCGCGACATTTAGGGGTAAACTGAGAGCGACGACGGTCCCGAGGGTGAAAAAAAAAGACCCCGACTCGTTCGCTTTGAGAGGCACGGCAAAGGGCAAGGGACGTGGGAAGGGAGAGCTGTAAATTGCCGTACGATACGAGACTAACGAGACGCAGTGCGAGCACGCTATTACGAAGCTGAAGCGAGACGGCATGACAGCCATCCGTCCTCCTTCTCCCTCCCCCCTCCTCGTGACTCCACGCCACCGCCTCCCACTACGAAAATCGCGCACCACGCAGCATCCTTGCGCGCGAAACACGCGTACGCCGGTGGACGCACGTCGTGTGTCTGTGGCTCGCGTGGCTGTACATACCTGTGAATAGTGTATTTTAAGCCCTAGTTTTAACGAAATCACCGCGTGAGGTGGAAGGCGGGAAGGCAACGCGAGTGCAACGCCGACAGACAGGAGGGAAAGAAAGAGGGAGGCGCGAGCGGTTGGTCGCGGAACGGATCCTCGTCGTTGAGAAGCGTCCAGCGCGAGGACGAGGTAAAAGCCAGCGCTCGTCGGGATCTCGAGCTCGCCCACTTGCCCGTGAGAACCGCGCGAATCCCGTTGAAACTCTTGGAAATTTTGCTCCTCTTGTCTCTCTTTCTCTCTCTCTCTCTCTCTCTCCCTCCCACTCCCTCTCCCTCCATTTGCTCGCTCGCTCGCTTGTTCCGTCTAGTTTCCCGTCCTCTTTCCGCACGCGCGGTCTGCCTTCCTTTCTCCCGTTCCCTCTCTCCTTTCTCTCTCTCTCACGCGCGCGCGGCCGTGCACGCCAGTTCTCGCTTGTTTCATCTTTCCTTCCTTCCTCGGTCTTTCCGCGAGCATATCCGCCGTGCCCGGCCGTCGGTTACTCGTTCGGTCGGTCAGGTCTTCGTGCCGACGCCTCGACCGAGAATCTCGGCTCGGACGAGCGTGCGATTCCGCGGTCATCGTGCGATTTGTGCGCGCCCACCGTTCGCGACGGTTTCCTTTGTGTTCTCTCTCTTTCTTCCTCTCTCTCTTCGTCTTTCCCTCGCGTCGCTCCTTCTCTCTTTCTCTCTCTCTTCCCCCCCCCCCCTCCCCCCGTATCCGGCGCACACCAGGCGCACACAGTGTTGTCAAAAATCCGGCAGCAGCGCGCCGGAGCTGCACGCAGCTGCCATTGCTGTAACTGTCTGGTTTTCGCTCGCAGCTCGGTAAATACGCTTCTCCGGCCTCACGCGGGCTGATATCGGCGCGTCGCCGCTCGTCATCGTCGCCGCCGTCGTCGCCGCTGTCGCGACCGCAACGGCAGTCTCGACCGCAGCCGCCTCGTCGCCGCCGCCGCCACCGCCGCCACCGCCGCCACCGCCGCCACCGCCACCGCCGCCGCCACCGCCGCCACCGCCGCCGTCGTCATCGTCTTCTTCGCCGTCGTCGTCGCTTTCGCCCTCGTCATCGTCTTCGTCGCCCTCGTCCTTGTCACCGTCGCCGTGGAGACAGTCGGTGAGAATGCGTCGCCGTTAACAAGCGCGCGCCCACGGAACATGCACGCGCGACTGCCGTAGCGAGCGGTATCCTCTGCGGGGCATCTCGTCGGACGCCGCCGGCTCTCACCGCGCGGGAGCTAACCTCCACGGGACCGAGGGTGCGTCCCCAGCACGTTTGGCCGTACCGCGTTCGCCGCGCCCGGGGACAGCGGCGCGGCCTGACAGCGCGAGGACATGAAGTGGCTCGGCGCGAGCAGCGGAGGCGCCGGAGGCGAACCGGCATCCTCCATGCAGCTGCATCACACCTCCGCCAACGGCCACATACCCACGGTACATGCACGTCCGCTTTTTTTTTCTCTCTTTCCTTTCTCTTTCTCTCTCTTTCCCCTTCTCTCTATCTCTCTCTTTCTCTGTCCCTGTCTGTGTCTCTCTCTCTCTCTCTCTTTCTCTCTTTCTCTGTGCTCTCGCCGTTCGCGATCGGCTTACCTCGAGCGTCGGGGAACGCGCCGACCGCGAATCGAGCGTGACCGCCGACAATCGCGGCGCACGAGAGTCGGCCGCCATAACCTCGACGGGCGACCGCGCTGGGAATACGAGCGTTTGCAAATGTCAGCATGAGTGTTACAAGTGCCGAGCGCGGGAGCGTTGATTCTCCGGTTGCTCTGTGCTCCGCGCGAGAAGAATGTGCCTCGAGTGGCTCGAGCGCCAAATAAACGTGCGAGAACGAACACGTCTCTTCCGGCCTGAAGACGCTGGGGGGCAGGATTGGGGGGAGAAAAAAAAAGAAACTATCGTTTGTTTCAGTACATGCCCGGCTATTAATAGCCCCTCTTTATTAGTTGTAAGCGATTGAAAAGCGGAGAAACTTTTACCCAAGCGAGTCAACCGGACCGATTCGGCTGGGACGAAAGGGAAAACGTGGGTATGAATGTAACTGGGGTCGCGGTGACGTGTGCCGTGGCTTTTGTTGGAATCCGTTGGACGTAGCGTTTCATTTTACATGTTAGAGTTAACAAGTTACGCGTAAGAGCACAAGCGTGACCAAGGTTCACTGTCGCGGACACTGAGGTTACATGTTGTATGAAAAAGTGCTGTCGTATCTTTAAGTGATTCACGTTTCGCGATTATGCCCCGCGACGTTACTAATCACCGACATGTATTATTAGGATACGGAACAGTGCGGGCAAGTTATGGCTGGTGGCGATAATATGCGAATACAACCTGGTCAGACACACCAGATGGGAGTGAGTAGGACGCAGGACGATGCTATGGTTGGTTACGTGTTTCAACGACCTACAGAGCCAGAATTTAACACCCAGTCTTCAGCTTTTCAAGCAAAGCAAGCTCCGAGAGCTTGGGCATTGGCGGACGAGGTTATCGTTGATAATGTATGTACGACAAAGTGTATATTTGTGTGTTGACTGATATCCTTCACTGTAGCGTTCAAGTCTAAATGCACATCCGTTTCACCGCACCGGTCTTGAGTGATCTAAAACTTTCAGACTGGTTTCATCGCAAGTGCAACTTTTATGGGTAGAAATTGCAAGCCTCTTGCTCAGTCTCTATGTTAAAGAGGCTTTTTTTTTAAATGGTTCATTATTCTTGTTGGTATTTTGAGTTTTGTTCTCCGAGAGGCAATGCAGTATCGTGATTTGTTTATTTCTAGTTGTCTTGTTAGTCTTGAGACTAAAAATTTATATTTCGCAGACTTTGTTTCTATTAGAACGGGGAAATACCTCCTGGACTTTGATTACATTCCGAATATGTGACACTAATAGCCAATTCGGCAGCTTGCACTAGTACGCACTGGGTGTACGCCAAGGCTTGTTCAGAGTCAACTCTTATATTTATGGTCATTTCACATACATGTGCAAAAACTTGCACTAGTACGTACTGAGTGCACGCCAAGGCTTGTTTAGAGTCTACTCTTATATTTATGGTCATTTCAAGTACATGTCCAAAAACTGTTTAGCCAAAAAAAAAATGATCCGTACGAATGCTACACAGATCACTTTACTGGCTAAGAATTATTTCAAACAGTATCGAAGACAATCCTTAAATATAAGAATTGACTGTAATAAATCTTAGTGCGCACTCGGTGCGCATTTGCCGAATTTGCTATAAAAGTTTTCTGAAAATTATTAACGTTATATGTTTGGAACAAGTTTGGGTACATATTCCACTTCGATAGAAACAAAGCCTGCAAGATGTGAAAGCTTTATTCTGATTTGCAAGAGGTGGCAAATCCGAGAATCGAATTCGAATCTTTCGCTTAACAGACAACTAGTACTTGGCACCTCAAATGCATGTTCTCTTTTGTTTCAAATTTAGCATTTATCTAAAGATGCCAAGACGATGAAATACGTCTGTTTAATAACGATTCAATTGTAATTTATGTGCGCATCTTACGCTCTTCTATATGTGTAATAAATAGAAAAAGAAACGTAGATTGATGCACTGATAATTCAACCAGTTATACAACCGATGTGATTTGTTTTTGCAGAATCAAGAAAAGTGGAAATATTCAATGACTAAGCTTGGTGTACCTCAACAAAGTCAATCTCAGCAATTGGGATTAACTATGAACAATGTACATTTGAGTAATGTACCATACGAGATACATCCAATGCAATTAAAAGTAAGTAATAGATCCCAAACGATTGTATTATTTTACGCAATACTGTAGAGCTTGTACAAATCTTTTATGTTTGTTTCGCAGAGCGGTGCACCTGGTGCTGAACACTTGGTTTATCTGAACAATCAGATGACTGCTCAACAACAGGTCGCTCTCTTTCATCACCAGCAGCAGCAGCAGCAACAACAATTCAGAAACGGACAGGTAAGTTTTTCTATACGATAATCGCATGGATAGTTATTGATTTTACCCTTAAAACACGTGTTCCGCGTGATAAAGAGCAATACAGGCAGTCGACTTTTTCC